ATCATCGTCAGCACCACCATCATCACCACCATCATCATCATCAACAAAATCATCATCAACAACATCAGCATCAGCATCAGCATCATCATGATCATCAGGGTAAGCATCATCATCATCATCGTCATCAGCATAACCGTCATCATCATCCTCAACATCATCGTCATCAGCATAACCATCATCATCATCATCAGCATCATCATCATCCTCAACATCATCACCATCAGCATCATCAGAATCAGCATCAGCATCAACATCAACATCAGCATCAGCATCATCATCATCAGCATCATAGTCGTCACCATCATCAACATCAGCATCAACATCATCGTTAACATCAGCATCAACATAAACATCAACATCAGCATAATCGTCAGCCTCTGCATCATCAGCATCATCATCATCGTCATCATCATGGTCATCATCGTTATCATCCCATCCTCCTCTTCCTGCTTACTACTCACTCCTCCTCTTCATCCTCCTCCTCCTCATCCTCCTTGATCTGGACCTGGCGCGCCCCCACCTGAGGCGCGCCATGGCCGACGGGACCAAACAGTGCCGATCGTCTGCAGAGGCGTGCGGCCACTCACGAGGCGGCTGCCCAAGCCAACTCGCGGTGCCCTCGCACGAGACGCATCGGGGCATACTAACACGGAGGCGCACGTCCGAGCCGATCACATAGAACAAGCATCTTACAGTGTGCCGCTACCCAGGCAGTGTGGCCAGACAGCGCCCGCCACCGAGCATGTACTAAAGATTGTCTGAGCGCGCGCGCGTCGCCCCTGGGGGTCGACTCACACATCGTCACATTGAAGAAATCCGCAGACCCAGTCAGCGTGTGTGAGAGGCCCTTCGACGCGAGGCCAGCCCAGCCTAAATTGAAGCACGCCAGCCTCCTTTGAAGCGTCATCGCCGTCGTAAGGGAGGTCGATTACGTCGAAGGGAAGCCCCTTCCATTCGTCTTACCGAGAGGGGTCCCAGAGAGTGGTCCTGGAGGGGATCCTGGGGGGTGTCCCAGGGGGGATCCCAGTGGAATCCTGTAGGGGGGCTGGGGGGGCCCCAGGCCTTCCCTGTGGAGAATGGAGAATGGGCTCGAGCCCGACCCCGAGCACGAGCCGAAGCCCTCGCCACGCCCTGCGCGCTGCCGCCCAGGCCGCTCCCGACCCCCGAACGGCCCGGGTCCGCGGCCCGCTTCGGCCGCTGCCCAGCGGAGAGTGGCGACGACGCCGACAGCAACGGCGACGACGACGACGACGACGACGACGACGACGACGACGACGACGGCGACGACGACAGCGACAACGACGACGACGCCGACGCCGACGACGACGACGACGACGACGACGACGACGACGACGACGACGACGACGACGACGACGACGACGACGGCGGCGGCGGCGGCAGCAACGGCGGTGGCGACAACGCCAACGCCGCAGCCCCGGCCCGCACGCAGGCGGGGTCCGGCGGGAAGCCCAGGTCGAGGTTCACGGCGGGGATCGGGTCGCCCACCTTCACCTCGGCGAGGCGGCGGAGTGGCGGCGGCGACGGCGGTGGCGAGACACGACGACGACGACGACGACGACGACAACGACGACGACGACGACGACGACGACGTCGACGACGACGACGACGACAACTGTGACGCCGACGACGACGGCGACGACGATGACCCCGACGGCGGCGACGCCGACGAGTGTATATAGACATATAGATGCAAATCTAGATACATGGCAGGAAAAAAAACAGAGAGGGAGAGAGAGCGCCCAAGAGGACCGAGGGGGATGCCCCTTAGCTGCCCCTTCCCCTCACCTTGAAGGCCCTCGTTTCGAAGCCCGCTCTTTCCCCCACTGCTTTCCGGCCCATGGATGCTGCCCCCCGCGAAGCTGCCCCCCCTGCCCCCTTCCCCTCCGGCCCTCAGGAAGCTACCCCCTCCCCTTCCTTTGCACCCCCCTCTCCCGAAGCCCCCCTCCCCATGGAAACTACCCCCCTGGCCCCCGTTTACCCCCCTACGAGGCGCCCCCCCCCCTTTCCCCTCGGGCCCTGAGAAGCTACCCCATCCCATGGGGCGCCTTCTTTCCAAAGCCGAAGCTACCGACACTCCTTGGCCCTACCACTTGAAGCGGGATATGTATATATGTGTATATATACGTACATACATACATACATACATACATACATACATACATACATGCATGCATGCATGCATACATACATACATACATACATACATACATGCATACATGCATGCATGCATGCATGCATGCATACATGCATACATGCATACATGCATACATGCCTACATACATACATCCATACATATATACATACATTCATACATACAAACATTCATACATGCATACACACCTATACATATACATGCATGCATGCATACGTATTCACATACATACATATGCATACATATTCATACATATGCATATGTACATACATATACATATATGTATACATGTATACGTACATGTACATGCATAGACATGAACATACATACATACATACATAAATGCATGCATACAGACAGACAGACAGACAGACAGACAGACAGACAGACAGACAGACAGACATACATGCATACATACATACAAACACACATACATACATGCATGCATGCATACATACATACATGCATACATACATACATGCATGCGTGCATACATACATACATGCGTGAATACATACATACAGACAGACAGACATACATACGTACATACATACATGCATACATACAGTCATCCATCCTTCCGTCCATACATACGTGCATACATGCATGCATGCATACATGCATACATACATACCTACATACCTACATATCTACCTACCTACGTACCAGCATGCATACATACATACATATATGCATGCATACATATATGCATGCATACATACATACATACATACATACATACATACATACATACATACATACATACATACATACATACATACATACATAATTACATACATAAATACATACATACATACATACATACATACATACATACATGCATGCATGCATGCATGCATGCATACGTACATACACACAGACATACAGACATACATACCTACATGCGTACGTATATACATACAGACAGACATGCATACATGCGAACATGCATACATACAAACATACAAACATGCATACCTACATACATGCATACGTACATACATACATACATACATACATACATACATACATACATACGTACGTACGTACGTACAGACAGACAGACATACATACATACATACATACATACATGCATGCATGCATGCATATATACATGCATGCATACAGGCAGGCAGGCAGACAGACAGACAGACAGACAGACAGACAGACAGACAGACAGACAGACAGACAGACAGACAAACATATGTATGTATATACATCCATCCATCCATACATACATACAGTATACAAGGGGGGTGGAGGGGGAGGCCATTTTTCGAAGCCCCCGCCCCCCCCCCCCTCCTCCCCCCTTCGTGAAGCAAGGGGGCCCTTTGCCAAAAAGGGAGTGGGCTTCCTGAGCAACCCCCCTCCTCCCATCTTTCGCCCCACGAAAGCTACCCTCCCTCCCCCGTTTGGCACCCGCCTCCATTTTCTTCCCTGGCCACCAGAAGCTGCACCCTACCCGTAACCCTACCACTCTGACCTTCATATCCTAATCCTAACCCTATCCCTGACACGCAACCCTAACACGCTCATCCTAACCCTACGACCCGAACCCTAACCTTAGCACCCTGAACCTGCAACCCAAACCGCAACACCATCACCCGCTCTTTACCACCCTGACCAACACTAACATGCTAACCATAGCACCCTCACCCTAAGATCCAGACCCTAAGCATTGACCCTAGGCCTAACACCTCAACCCTATCTGCAACACCCTGACCTTAACACCCTAACACCCGAACACAACCACCCTAACACTAGCACCCTAACATCCTAGCCCTAACACCCTAATCCGAACACCATCACCCTAACACCATACCCCTACACCTAAACATAGCACCCTAGCCCTAACACCCCAACCCTAACACACTAGCCCTGACACCCTGACCCCAACACCCTTTTACCTAGTACCCAAACCTAACGTCCTAACCCTGGCACGCTAACCCTAGCACCCTCACCCTACCGCCCGAACTCAAGCACCCTCACCCTAATACCCTGACCCACACCCTAAGCCAAACACTCGACGCCTAACGCTCTAACCGTAAGCACTAAGCCTAAGCACAAAAAAAAACTAGCGCTGCCACCCAAAATCTTAAATCGATCACCCTCACAGCAACACTCTGAAACCCTAAGCGGACTCACTCCACACCCTGATACCCTAACACCCTAAATCCCTTACCCTAACACCCTAACCCGAGCACGAACCCTACCACCCCGGCCTGAACACCCTCACCCCAATCCTAGCACACTAATCCTAACACACTATCCCTATTGCAACCACTCTAGCCCTGAGCATCAACCCGACTAGGACGACGACGACGACGACAACAACGGAGACGAGATTTGGCGCAGGTCGACAGGGAGGAAGAAAGGAAGTAGCTTCCGACCATCCCCCTTTGGAATGGAAGCCAGGGCGCAACCTCGGCTTCAAAAAGGGGGGAGGGGGGAGCTTCGGAAGCCCCCCCACCCCTGGCAAGGGAGCCCCCGGCTTCAAAGTGGAGGGGAAGGGGTTGGCTTCAGCAGACCCCCCCCCCGTTGGAAAGGGGAGACAACGCTCACGCCCGGCTTCACAAGGGGGAGAGGAAAGAGGGAGCTTCCGAAGCCGCCCTCGCTTTTGGAAAGGGGAGCCGGGGCTTAACCCCAGCTTCAAAAATGGGGGGAGGGGGGGGGAATGGTTTCGCAAGCCTCCGCCCAAGGCAAGGGGGCCTCCAACCTCAAAGGGGAAGAGGGGGCGTAGCTTCGGGAGCTCCCCCCCTTTTGCAAGGCAACGGAGGTAGCTTGAAGCTGGGCTCACACTTTCTCGTTTTCCCGTCTCCACTTGCGC